CGTGTGCGGTCATTTTTGTATGAATGCGGTAAATTGCGGTGAATTCTAATATTAAAGAATCCAAATGACGAAATTTTAACCGCATTGCCTTTAAATTTAACCACACACTACTCAGTAACCGCATTTACATTAAAATTTACCGCAAATTTTTTTGTGTGCATAGCAAACCTATACCATGATGTTCTGCAAGAAGCTGTCATCCTCTTTGGTTATGTATGCACGTTTGTTAAAAAGATTTATTTTGAACATTGTTCAAAATTGTTATCCATTGTTTAATAATCAATGACATTTTTAAAAAAATTCATACTTTTTCAGGCTATTAAATTTTCTCAAAAGCACGGAAAACCGATACTTGGCCTGAATCTCATTCTTCCAAAAATCGCGTGTTTCATAGCTGGCAAAAATGCGATTGACAAAGTATTCAATGCTTACACCATTCCAACTAATCGAAATGAGTTGTCCATTGCTATACCAGACATCATATCCAAATACAAATTGAACGCCCAGAAGAACAAAGTAGCTAAGTGTCTTGAACATTTTGAATCTCAGGTTAAAGACTCTCTTACCATCTCATGCCCAGTCGAATTGGATAGATTTTCTTCGTATATAGCTGTTCAAGTTCATGCAGTGAGAGGTGTAGTGTCAACGGTATCCAATTTGAGCTATGATTGTAACAAAGAAACAACCAAAAGAAATGTCCATACACTTATAGATAATGATGATGCAGTTGCAAAGGCTATCATGGAAATGTTTCCTCATTCTGTAGCCAGTTTTAGGCAAACTGGACAAAATTAATTTGAATGATTGTTATTTTCTGAATATGTTTTCTTTACAATTAATACAAATACAAGCCGAGAATATGGATATTCTCATTTGTTCATACTGTAAAACGATGTTGTTTGTTTTTTATAACAATGTTATGTCAAATTTCGATGAAACAAAATGTTCTTTTGTCGTTCAGTTGATTTACTGTGATTTTTATATCAGGAATGAGTGGAACAAAACGTGAACGTGATCGACAGCGATTTCTAGCTCGTGGACGTGGCCGCGCTCGCACTGCTACCGAGAATTTCCTGTGCAATGACATTGTACGTTGATTTTGAATAGGCATTTGTTGGCATATGGATATAATCAACGACACATCCTTCCGGGTACTAAAATATATTCATTTCTCCATATTTGCCATTGACATTAGCTTGTCAAAAACGTTCAAGTAAAGTTTCAATGGTCATTTAGCTAATCAGCGTTTCACCACAGCAATCAAATCGTAAACCATGTATACAAATTCGTTATGGATCGTCGACGATAGCAATGAAAAAAAAAATATATTCATAGAAACATCAAACTGACAGAAAAATCACCTATACGGAAACAACAACAACATTGACTTGAAAGCTGTGCATAGAAGAATGATTCTAGTGATAATTTTACGCTTTTTTGCATTTTTTTTAGATTGTTTTCTCCAGCCGCAACGAAACGATTCATTCTTTTTTTTAAAGACGTAAAACGGCTTTTGACCCAAATTCATTTCATCATTAGAATATTCCATTCATAAAAGCGAAGGTTCTATTCACTATTTTAACATAGAGCAAACGAAAGAAGGAGGGAGAAAGAATGTGAAAAATGATGCCGGGCTATTCATTGTGAATCACAGTCTCTCACGTGATTACACACACTGTGTGCAAAATACAATTTTAAAAAATCTTTTTGTTTAATGAGGTTTTCATGAAGAATTTGTGTCGAGATAATGCATAGTATATACATACGAGCACCCACACACAAACAAACTCACAATTATTAAATGCGTACGAACGCAAATTATCACAATTCTTGAATTGGTTGAATATATAAAGTGCATGAAAAAAAATACTGCAATTCAATCATTTGTTGCATTGTCACATGAAAATCAAATTATACAAATTGATGACTCAACACGAACGAAACGATGACTAACATTTAAATGGAATTTATTTTATAAAAACTTGTTATAAATGAAAATCATTGTGCATCGATTTACATCGGTCGCTTTGCTAATTACGTAAAATGGGGCGCTGTCCACGTAATGTCGAAACAAAGCTTTTTCAACATTAGTTAAACGCAGGTACCAAGTTGGCACCAAGATAATATTCTCGTAGTTTCGATTTTTTTTGTCGCTACATTACCGCAAAATTTACTTATTTATTATCGATGTGTTAATAAATGGTATTCTCTATTTCAATTCAAACATGTTCATGAATTCATGCGGTTTGAATACGATTACATTATACGCAAAATAAAAAACTCGATTCCGGTGCTGATAAAATTATCCACATTTTTCTTGCAATAAAAACAAACGAATGAGAAAATTGAACATGAACATGAACACACAACGAAGAGACAAACAAAAAACGCAAACATTTGATTTGACCATGAAATTTTATAATTCAGTTCAAATATACGAATGTGGTTTTTTCTTTGTTATTCGAGTATACCGTAAAATTTACACGGTCATCTGATTGAACAATCTATTTTTAATGAACAAACAATCACCACCATAGACTTTACAATTTACCTTCAGATTGACAGAGAAAACAATCCTGAAATAAAAAAAAAAAAACAATGAAAGCGGATACCAATTTCAAGGTGATACTTTCGCTCGCAAAATATTTCGCCAACGTCATCATTATTTCCGGTAAAATTTAATCAAACTTTTTTTTTCATTGAAGAAAGAAAACAACTTATCGCTCATTTTAACAGAAAATAGTCTATTATTATATAGGATAAATTCAGAAGTAGCTCAAAAAATGTACATTTATTGTTGCAATGATTGAAGAAGAAAGAAACATTGTACACACACAATATTAAAATGAATTTTTGCACAACATCTGTTTCGTAAAATAAAATTTATATAAAAAAAAAAATCGATAAAATGAATTAACACATCGATTTATGACCTAACTGCCTTAGTTTACCTTAATTTTGTATATTTGAATTTTCTTTTCGGAATCGTTGCAACAAAATATGTAATTCTTTACCACTATCATACACATTATTTTTTTTATTGTTTTTTAAGTTATTGGTAAATTTAATTCTTTTTCAACGAATATCAATAAATATATGTAATTATACTTGAATCTAAGTCATCTAAATCGACCTATGTCAACATACAAAAATTTAAACGCCGGAAATTGTTTCAAATTTTATTGTTTTTCAATTCGATTTTCATATGCTACATTTAATCAAAAATTATTTTGATGAACACACTTTGAATGCAAACAATTTGAAAAGAGAAAAAGAGCTCGAGTGTTCGAGTGAAAAACCATCACATTTGCAAACCAATTCGTTTTTCAAAACAATTCAAACAGTGATAAACTTTTATTTATATTTATGGATTTTTTTTAAAAATAAATTTTGGACAAACAGTACAACACACAATTGAAGAAATTAATGGCTTACAGCATTTAGTATGCTAAAATAGATAATTCAAAAACAAAAACCCATGATGGTTTCATGAAGATGCTAATTTTTTTCTCTCTCTCTCGAATTGTTTGTATTTCAATCGTTCATAATCTGTCTAAATATTTTTTTAAAAAATATAATTAATTGGGTTATTGAAGTCTCCTAATAAAGATATTATACATATACGAATATGTTTATGTGTGTGTGTCTATGTGTATTTTTCTGTAACAAAATAACATGCGATTACATAGAAAACTAATAGAAAACTAGAATGACAAATTGCTGTTGAACACAACAGATTAAATTGTTGTCTCAAGTCACTTGCATTTTCCGGCATGTGCATAACCATTTAATAATGCGAGCGTTGCGTTCGACAATTGATGTTTGCGTTCGTGCTGGTTCAATTGGTCGATATGGTTGTGTTTCGAGTTGAGTTTCGGTACTGTCCGGCAATTGATCCGAATCAACAGTTGCAACGTCTGAGAAGAAAACGGGACTCGAACGATTTGAATCGGTTGAATTATTATAGTCATCGGATAAACCGAGACGATCAAAAAAACGTTCTAATTCGGTGAAATTTTCGGATTTGGCACGTTGTTGTTCATTGATTGTTCCATTTTCGGGTAAATACATTGAATCATTTTTTTGCACATTTCGGCTAAAATACCGATGACTGATATCACTTTTCGATCGTAAAATTGGCTTTCGATCATCCATTGCAACCGCATTCGAAATTCGATCGCTGGGCGATGGATGACGCGATGGATGCTGCTTGATACGAAAGCATTTTTGTCGTTTAAATGTTCCCAATGGTGGACTGATTTCACCTTCAATTGGTGATAATAAATCATTGCTAGGTAATGGTATCGACATTCCCTGTAAATCGGGCTCATAGTTTCTTGTATTATTGTAAAATATTGATGCTCTACTTGCCCGTAAAATGGGCTCGTCTACATATTGTTTTGATTTTTCATTTATATCCTTATCATTATCATTATCGCTAAAATGATCCTGGAATGCCTCCGGCACCACAGACGTTGTAAAGTTAAGTAAGCAATTGGCATCGGTTGGGCTTTGATTATTATCACATTCGATGCAATCAATTCGACTAGTGACACCGCCGTACGCATTGTAATACGAATTACCGCTGTGCTGCGTTGACGAACCACTATCTCGTCGATTATCTGGTCCATAGTATTTTTGTTGTTGCTGCTGCTGCTGCTGTTGCTGTTGGAAGTTAGAATATGGTTTATTATGTTTTGATTGCGGCATCTTATGCGGTTCTTGTTTGTAAAAAGGCTCGCTTCGGTGAGTATAATGTCCTGACGATCCACCTGAGTCTCGATTCAATGAGCTATTTGATTTATTCGAGCGATTTCCACGACCTTCTGAATATTCGCTATAAGGTGAATTACGATTAGTTTGCGTATGTGTATGCAGATCGGGCAAGGATTTATGATTTATTTTATTATGGGTTGGTGACTCATAGTCTGGCTCTTCTATGTCCACAGTTTGCGAATGGGAATAGGATCGTTGATAATTTACAGAACTAAATGGACGCAAAAATAAATTTAAAAAAACAAGCACAGGCATATTTAAAATCACATTCGCAGTGTAATATTAACAAATACAAAAATTGGATGAAAATGGCAGAGATATGGATTTTTCTTTTACCGATTTGTATCTTTTCGGTGTGACCTTTGGTGTATCGGTGAATCATTGAATTCGGCATATTCGGCTGGTGGACTGATCGGTTGATAGTCACTCAGTATTGAAGAACTTTTATAATCACAGTAAATATCATCAAATGTTGTATTCGTTGATGGTAAGGATTGCGGTGAAAGAAATGCGCTTGGAAACATCACATCGTTATCATTACTCAAATCACTAACCGGATGTATGATTAGCTAAAATCGAATTGTATAAGAATAAAAACTCATTCAGAAACAATAAAACCACTATTTACCTCTTGATTAAATCGTTTTGGTGATGAAAATTGTTGTGGTGGATCAAATTTTGTGTGCTCATAATCAAAGCTGGGCCGTCGATTCTTTTGTTGTGATGCAAGTACATACGAATCGAAGACGCTATCCTTTGGCGACGATGAGTCATTAATGAGCCGCCTCAGCTTTATTTGAAGCAATTCCGAATTGGCTGACACAGATCGACGGTTGTTCAGCGTATGTGACGCTCGTTGATGTGGAAATGTATGTGATGGTGAAATCAGACCTTGCATATAAAATTACGCCAAAAAAAAAAACACCAATTAATGGAATAGAATTCAAACGAACAAAAAAACAAATCAAAATAAATGCAACCGACAAATACTTACATGCACTAGATGGTGGTAAATTGGTGTTGGTATTTGATTTGGTTGCGAATGGTGTTCGCATACTTTGATACAGTAATTGCTGTTTTTTATCCAATACATTCTCTGATTTTACGTAATACGGTTTGCTTTCGGCCAAAAGTTCAACGGCTGATTTGCGTTTGGTGTTTCGAACAAAATTTTGCTGTTGATCGGTTACCATTCCTGAATGTATGACTGTACCACCGCTGATTGTTCGATAATTTTTTTTCGTTTTCTTTGGCAGTGGCGGAATTTGGTGTGGTGGTACGGGTGGTGGTGCTACAAATATCGATGATAAAGCCGTCGAATGTTTGAGTGAGGTGAAATTTTGGTGTGGCAAATAAGATGCAGGATCATGGTAAAATGTTGAATGTCCATGTGATAAGCTGTCCGCCATAATTTGATTATGTGAATTCGGTAATCCATTTGAATTGTGCACAATACGATTATGGTGGGCTGGACTACCTCCGTATACGGATGCTGCCATTATTTTATTCCCTTGCTAAATGCTTTCCAATCGAAGGTGCTTTTCCTTTTGACAATTGTGGCACAATTCGAAGAGGAAAATCCATTAAGTGTTTTGTTTCATTTATCGCCCTATATTTGACACCTATTGGATGAAAAGGAGAAAAGAAACAGATCCAAGAATCAATGTGTGAAGCTGTTTTTTGTTGCTAATAATATTACATGTCCGATTTAAAAATGAGAAACAAACACATTGACGAGAAGAAGAAGAAAAAAACCAATTACAAGAAAGTGTATTTTATACGATTTTTTTTTACATGAAAAAAAGGCTCAGTATCGAACGGCACATGCATCACATGATTCAATTGAAGTGAAAATAAATGATTTGCAATTCGTATGATTGTTATAGTGGAGGAGTTCATTCAACGGTTCATGGCAGAACAAATACACACATACACATTTTCTCTATCAATCACCTTTTTTCCCCATTAATTACAATATACGCTCTTTTTTTTCTTTCTTGTTTGGCTCGAGTCGCATAGCATGCCATATTTCTTTGGTATGCTTTTTTCAGTGTCTTTCTTATACTAGCTCTCGAAAGGTTCATTCTTCGCAAGTTAATTGAAAATCATTTCACCTTTCACACCATTCACAGTTCATTCTCCGTTTGTTTCATCACTACATTTTTTTTTGTTTGGTCGATGTGCACGCATATATAAATGTATAAATGTATCGATATTCTTGTTCATAATAATCTACTAGCAGATTTGTTGGTAATAAAAGAGTTTCTATCAATTGGTTGAATGCAAAGCAATGTTGCAAAGAAAAAAAAACACAAAAAACAAAATCAGACGACAGCGTAAAAGAAGATGAAGACGAATAAAGCACAAAGTGATTGACGCTTGACTTGAAGAAAGCTCAATTTTTTCCATCCACTCAAAATCTTTGCACGCGTGTGTTTGGTTGGCGCGCCGTTGCTGCTTGTCAAATTGTACATGTTTGTATTATTTTGAGAACAAAAGCATATGAACTGTATGAATACAAAGGAGGATCACGAACTCCACTATATGCAAAAAGAGAAAAGCAAAAGATGCTTAGAAGCAAAATATGAAAATGATTGTTATTATTATTGTCATTATTATTTCGATGTAACGATTCCACATATGGTGAAAAGTCGACAATGTCGACGACGATGACGAAAAAAAAGAAAGATAAATGAATAGCTTCAGAGCAATGATTGGTTTCAGTGTACAAATTGTATATTACGCACATATTAAAATGATGTGAGTGTTGTTGCTGTTTTGTTTTTCTTTTCTTTCTTTTTAAATTGTTAAATTGGCTCATGTGTATGTGGAATCGACATTTATTTATCTCTGCATTGGCCAGTGTCAATGATTTTCATCTATCTATCTCTCTGTATATAGATAGATCATTTCACCAAAAAAAAATAAAATAAAACATCAATAAAAAAATTACAAACTGTACTACAATGAAGTGCTATTGAACAACGTATAAACGATATATGTTTCATTTTTCTTCATCACATTTCAACATAATAGCCATCAGCTAATTTCGTACGGTTGAAAAAGCAGCATGAGTCAACCAATAATATGGTGTATGGCATACGTGCATGATATACATATGATATAAAACAATTGAGATTTTGGTGAAAAACACAACAATAACCGACCACCATAGTCCAATTAAACGATATTATGAGCAGCATTCATTGGATGAACGGTACATATACAAGGTAAATGATGGCCTTGAATTGAACCATAGAAAACACGAATCGAATGGTGGTTACTCGATTGCATAGAAAACACACGCACGCTCCATCCATACACCCATTGCAAATGACTTTATGATGGACATATCAAATTTCCACCGAAAAAAGAAATGTGGTACTATTTTAAACATTTGCACTCAACATTTTGGGCTCCTCCGTGTATTACAATGTTTCGGTCGAAATCTCTTTGATCACACACAGTGTGCGATGGCTAAGCTTGGGTGCAAAAAAACAAAACAGCAAATATATTCTGTAGCACAAATACACAAGTGAAGCAGCTGTGATGAAATTTATACAAATAGGTGCATCAAATTAGGCTAAAAGGTCGACATTATAATCATCAGAAAGAAAGAATTAATTTTTTGACTGTTTTTGTACAGTGTGAGCTTATTTGGCATTTTAGTTTGGTTACTTTATTAAATAATAACAAAAAAAAAAAAAAAATGGAAAAACAATGCTTACGCGTACACGCACATATGCACACACACACATGCATATTGAAATCTTTATAAAATATAATGTATTTGAAAAAAAAAAAACGGGCGAAAATGGGACAATTAAGAAAGCATATACACAATTGTTTGTGTTTTTCCCTTTCTCTCGTTCCGTTTCGGATCGCTTCGGTTTGGTATTTTACTGCAACGTATGCATGGTGTATGAGCATCAGGCATCCACATAAAATAATATAAAGTGCGACACACCAGCTTAACTAAAATGAATTTATTGAATTTTCAATAAAATGTTTTCGCCTTGTATGCCATACACCATGCACATACTCAATACTCACATAAATTGTGTGTGCGAGCGCGCACGAGTACGTAATGCATGTTTTATTGTCTTCTTTTGCGCCCAAAAGAGAAAGACCTTTTTTTTAATTTCATGCTTATGAATAAAAAAAAATATGTGTCTTATTCCCGTTGTAATTTCAATAAATAATCAGCGCTATTTTCTAGTTTTGTTTTGCTTTGCCTTTTGCTTTGCTTTATTTCAGTTTTATACCATTTTCGTTATATTTTCTATTCAACATCTCTCCCCCGTACGGATGCGTGAGTTTGAATGAATGTTTTTTTTTTCCCAATTTCGGTGCTATTCTCAATATTATTAGTTTCAATTTATATGATACAATGGTATAAATGGAATGAACAACTGCAAACATCGAACAGATGGGAGTTTATAGTTTATAAAATGTGGTTTTTTCTTCTTCTTTTTTCTTTAAACTTCATTTTAATTCAGGCTGGCATATGTGGAAGACATTCATCGCCTCCGCTATGCGTGTACATTTATAGATAGGTCGCACACAAACTATACAAGTGGTAGAAAAGCAAATTATTGTGGTATTAACAAAGTATTCATTCGCTTGCTTGTCAAAAAATCGTCAAAAAAAAAACAAGGAGCATTATTTTACATTTGAATCAGAAATTGTTTATAAAATCGATGTTTGTTAATAAAAATGTCGGTAGCAAATGTGCACGTATTACCATTAATTTTTGCTGATCAACACATTTGATGTTGTGTGTTATTTAATTTTCGGATTTTCTCAATCGCCAATAAATATGAATGTTCAAATTAATTGCTTGCGGTTGAAGACCTTATTTGAACACTTTTTTTATGTGCACGTTGAATTGATAGTCGATTCCTATCTAAACCCATTTTGTCACGAGTAGTTGCCTGAACTTTTCATTTTTGAATAGAAAAGCCGATAATATGTTGTAATCAGACAGAATTCTCTTATTGTTACAGAAATAATATGAAACATTACATTGGGCCCCAAGTACATTATACATTCATATAATTGATCTCATTAGCCATCAATATGAGTTATCTCGTTATTTTAAAGAAGTTTTTGAAATTCAAACAGAGCCGCACATTATATTTGATGCGATCGCAATGAATAAGCAGAATCAAATTTACTATTTACATTGAAAATGAAAGAAGCACATATGAAGTGTGAAGAAGAAGCTAAACATTAGCACTTCATCGTTTTGATTGGATTTATTTCTCACTTTTTTAATCTATTATGTGTTTATGTTTATGGAAATATACAAACTCGCTCAATATATTTTGATAAGCATTTCCTTGCTTACATACATCATGCGTAGTATGCATTTCATTCAACTGTATTAGATTTCAATAGCATGTAAGCAGCTATTATGAATATTTCATAACTTCTCGCATCGTTCATCAAAAAAATCAAACAGTACTGAGTTGATTGCACATCGAAATCGAAAACAAAGCTGATAATTCCTTCGACAAGGCATTGTTCATCGTGAAAAATTCAACAAAAAACATCAAGTTTTTTTTTCGTAGACAATTGTTCATTTTTGAGCGTGCTTTTGAATTACTTGATACGTTTGATTTGTAATCAATAGACTTTCGGAAGTTGTTCAATGGATTTTTTTCCCTACATTATCTCGAAAAGTGAGTTTTATTTTCACTCTAGCGAACGAAGTTTAGCTTTTTGAATGCATTTAAGTGTCTTCATTTCAACGAATGAAAATTCTCATTGTCATTATGTGGATAAGTTATGAGTCGCCAAAGAAATTGTTGCAATTTTATCTATGGTAACTTCATTAGTCCACAGACAAAAGGCGAAAGTTCCTTTGTTTTTTTGTCTTCTTTTTTTTCATTTGCTTCTTCTTTGAAATCATTAGAGAGGAATTAACGCGAGCTGAGAATGTCGCTTTGATGTAAACCAATAATGATCCTACAAATAAAGTCGCCGTTGCAAAAGCGACTGGCAACTGAAATTAAGCATATTAACATATACGAACTGGATGCTCACAGAAATACACTTGCGAACCAATCGCAATCCAGTAATATTTGTTTTGTAAAACCGGATACTGAGTCCGTGAGACACGGGCGTTTCATATTTATGTTGTACATGTGGTGTACTCTTGGTGTACTTCAACTCAATTTTCTCTAATGCAATTATCAGTAGTTCAACACTTCCTGGTAAATGTTACTCTTCTGTTTCTCTGTTTTGGTTTTATTTTTTGCTTTTATCTTCTACATAGTGTTTTTTTTTTGTTTGTTTTCTTTCGTATAAAATAAGGTAAACAAAAACAAAAATAAATACAGATGTAAATGTAAATATAAATGAAAATTACATAATGTACATAGTCCGTGTCGTGTGTGTGTTTGTGTTCGGCTCATCAAAAAAGGAAGAGAGAAGAACAGTTGCCTTTAGCTGATAATAACTGGAATCAATTTCACGATATATCTACTGTTCGGTCCGAGTTGTCGAGGCCATATAGTTCAAGAATGCATTTATGTTGATGGCTACTTCATTCCAAAATCGAAGTGTCGTCAAAGAATGCAGAGTAAGCAATAATTTTCAATGAATATCGTTCACGTCGTACATTTTCGTCGTTTTTATTGTATATGTGAAGTCAATTTACTGTACAATTTTACATCAACGATTCGAAATTACGATAAGCGCGTATATTTTTTTTTATTACTTAATGGAACACAAATGGGGGGGTCTAACTAGAAATTATTTCTATTATTGATTTCACGACAGGCGAACACAATTTGTATTTTTTTCCTTTTTTTTTAGGTACAAAAATATTTATTCTTTCGATTTTATTTATTTCTCGATTTGGTAGACGTTCTTATTCCAATTAACGACGAAAATAGAAAAAAAGAGATAATAATAAAACCACACACTGTTTGAAACTGTCTCCAAAAGTTTATGTTAAACAAATTTTGAGTCTATTTTTGGCTCCCATCTGATCTCGTTCACTATGTTTAAATGCAAAACACAAGAAACGTAAATTCGTAATTTACTAATATTTTTTTATTTTTATACTTGATAGCAACAGCATTTGATTTTCAGAAGAAATCCTGAAAATTTATTTAAAAAAAATTTGCACAACTTGTTTAAACAAAACGAAATTATAAACTGTTCGTATTTGTGTTTGCGTTGAGTATGATGGAAAACTTTTGGATCTGTTTCTTCTTGCCATGCATGTCTTTTTTTTCTCTACTTCATTTGCAGACTGATTTCTGTGTGCATGTACTTGCGTGTGTAATGCATGAATTTGATGTTTTTTGTATTTGGTGCGAGCTCTGTCGCTCTTTCTCCCCTTCTCCCTTCTTCTTCTTCTCTCCGTTCACTCTGTTGTTCAATACATATTTTAGCACATCGAAGACATAAGACATTTGCTAAATGCGTGCATTCAATACCATGATGGGTAAGTTCAATTCTAAAACTACGATATATTTTCTCATTTCGTCTATTTCGTTGGATTTCGTCGATTTGAACGTCTTGTTGTGGTTACGTCAGTTTTTTGTTCAACTGTCTCATTTTCTTTTCGTATTTTACGACGATTTTGATTATTATTTTCGGCCTCATCAACACTATCATTTGGCTGTTTTTTTCGCTTGTTTGCTCGCTTATTGATTGCATTCAAATTCTTCATTACGCTTGTTTTTAGGCTTGCGTCATGGTTCACCTCTTGGATTATGGAACCCGTTGATCCAGTTGTGGCTGAGCTGAGACCTGATTCAGTACCAGCAACCGAAACAATTTCAGCTTCACCTTCGATTTCTTCATCGTCATCACTGTCACTTATCTCATCCTCGCCGCTTGACTCATCATCATTGTCCCGAAATTTATCAATTGCTTCACGCAATTCTTTCGTTTTTATGCGAAAATCTCTAACCGTTCCGATATGTAGACATTTGTTCAGATCATGTTCCGTTTTTTTACTCAACGATATCACAAATTTATTGAAATTTTCAATGCTCTTAATCAATTTCGGAATGTTTTTTGTGTCACGCATTAGTCGTGCCTTTTGATTTTTGGCGTCATTTTTCTTCAGTCGTTTCGCTGCACCATCGTCGTTCTCATTCGCTTGTTCCCGTTCGAAAATATTATCTTCAATATAATTGATCATTGAGTAAATTTTTAACGGCAATTTTTTGCCAATCGTTTGCACCAATTGATCGAACTTTGTGGATTTGTATGAAATTGGTGAGACTTTTTGACGATTTATAAAATGTTTGGTTAAATTTGCCAAGCACACATAAAGCTGGATCAATAGTTTTGTAAAATTGTCGGTACATTGACCGACCGGTTGCATTGCATTTCCCAGATGGATGCATACACGTGATATGAATATGAATTGGGAACAAATTCGGCGTTCCGTTGATATCATTCGATTTTCACACAATTTTCGATCTTCTTCATTTTGACCGCCCGTTTTTATTTGAGCACAATAGCTCTTTACTTTGTGTATAAAGTATTCGATTTCTTCGATTTGTTTTCGAAGCGCATTGCATAACTGAATACAACATGTTTCGGCTGTTTCTTCGGCAATTGATTTCAGTTCATCGATAGACTCATTCGGTTCCTCTTCAATTTGTCCAAGTTTTGCTTGGATTTGCTTTGAAATTCCTTCAAATATTGGCCCCTTTCCCGTTCGAATACGCTGCATAAATAAGATTTTGTGAACGAGAGCATTTAGCTCCGGCAACTCAATTCGGTGCGATTTGCAATAATTGGTCAACCATTTGTGCACATCGTTCCCTTCATCCGGCGTCAAATCGATATGGTTGTACAGCATTTCCAAGCATTGAAATAGATGTCGCATCATTACTTGATGCTTGGGCTCGACATCGTTATTCTCAAAAGATGTTACAATTTTATCGATCAAGCGTTGTAAAATATTTATCAAATTTGTATTAACATCTTTTAAATGCACATTTTCGATAACTATAAAATAAATAAAATTTTCAATTATATTAACTCTTTTTTTCGTCGGAAAATAAAAATAAAAATAAAGCAACAGTTAAGTACCCAAACTTTTCAAAAATTCAATGAATTTTCGTTCGTATAATGCAGTCGCCGTGGAAATGCATTCTCGAAAACAGTTGACCGCAGCATGTGCCATTTCAATACCAAAATCGTCCAGCATGTTAGCCAAATCTTTGACGAAGAACTTCAGTATGAGTGCGGATATTTCACGCAAGTACTTATAGTTCGATTTACTATATTTAATTTGTTTGTAATCAGGAGCCGATCGCATTTCCTCAACCTTTGCGCGGGTTACGTTTAAAACGTAAATGCAAAAATCGGTTTCATTCCACAGCAAATTTGGCGACTGACTTCGTCTGCATGGCAAAATCAAAAAAAAAAAAAATAATAATAATGTTCATCAATGGATAGAAACTTTGGTACGTAACAATCGATCATCACTTACCGACATAGTGCTTCCAAAAATCCGTGTACCGCAATCAAATCCCAAACATTCTCAGGTTTTAAGACATTCACTTGAACTGTGGCTCTTAATTGACCAGACAAATCGCCGTCATCATTCTTTTTCCTGTTTGCCTTTTTGGCAGCGGCAACCAATTCCTGCAAGGAAAATGTTATCACTTTTTTTTTGAAATTCCTCGGAATATTAAAAAGAAAATCTTACATGAAGTTGATCGAGACACATTTTATGATGTTGAAATAGTCGAATAATTGTGGACACTGAAGAAGCATCAATGTTATGCATTTTCAAAGAATAATACATCAAACTCTCCAGACAATTCAAAAACTGAAGTCCAATCTGACATTTTAATGGGGTGATTGTACCGTCCTAAAACGAAATCCAGAAAAATAACAGCAAATAAATGTAATGTAATACTTTTGCCATGCATGGTAATTATGAATGTACCAAAACAATTTGATCCAAAGTGATTGTGTGAATGTTTTCGAGAATTTTCTCGAAAAATTCTTTGAATTCGGTGACTTCAAACTCCAAACCATTTTGTTCGAGTAGAATGAAGCATTGCGTTAGGAATTGCAGTAATTTGCCAATGTGATCTTTGATTTGAATGTCGCCTTGATTGATTTCGATTGCCTTATCGAAATTGATATGTATGGTGTCGGCCACTTCATCGAAGTAACTCCGAAAATGCCATTCAAGAAATTGAAAAATGTGCGGCATCAATTTGGAATTTTGTTGAATGGCATTGCTCAGGCCATCGTAAAGTATCTCTTTGATTTCATATGTTTGATTAAAGCATTTGCGTAAAATTCCGATTATTTCCAGCACGCACATATCAAACGCGTTGTTCGGATTATTTCCGCTGCTCTGTAATTGTTGTGACATCACGGAAAAACCGGATATACTCAATTGTGTTGACATACCGCGAGCCGATGATCGCCAAACTGAATTGCTTCGCAACTGTTTCAACATCAAACAAAATCCGTACACGGCCATTTGACGTGTTGACATATTACTCTGATACATTGCTTTGCGCAGCATATCAATGAAATAGTCACGAATTTGTGTATTCGATTTGGTCAACGGAACAATGAATGTCATCATCCTCATGGCATGATGTCCGGGAATCTAGTTTGAATTGACAATTGACCATTTACATGCATTGAATTGTAGAAACAATATTATCGTTATCTTACCAATAAGAAAAAGTCGATAATTTCTTTTATTTGACCTGTATGCTCTGAGATTAACATTGGATTTGATATGCTCAACTTTGTTAAACATTCTGGTGAAAGAAGAGATTTGTATTATTATATTGGGAGGCGATAAAAGTCAATAGATGTTATTTACCAGTGTATTGCGGAGCATCTTGATCGGCGAATAGAAATTCTTTTAGATTTTTTAGAATTCCCAGGCCAAGTTGATGTCGTACTCTCACTATCTCCTCAAGAAAATGAATGCCCAAAATGTTGACATTTGAATAGTGTGGTGTCTTCAATAGAACAAATGCCATACCAACCAAACCTGGAGTGAATATATCCTCTTTGCTACAAAAAAAAATGATATGCAAGCTACAATTTTGATTTCGTGAACAACAAAAATTTAAGTAATTCAAACCTTTGCTCAACTAAAATCGAATAGACTTTGTGCACATTGACAGTAGAGTATTCGAGTGTATCCCTGAACCATGCAGAATTTTTGCACAGTCCCATTTCTTTTTCATTATTTTGGATGGCGGTTCGAATGAACGGTAGCGTACTAGATACAGACAACCGAACCGATTCCAAATAACGACTAACATTGCATATCGTCAACAATGCGCTCAACATGAATGGTGTCAAAACATATTTTGGATTCGACGCCAAAGTCTATCGAAATTGTGTGAAGAAGAAAAAACAATTAGTTTGTTAAAAAGAGCTGTTTGTAATTTACATCGTTATGTCTTACTCGAATCTGCTGAACCATTTCCTTTTCACTGATCTTGTATTCCGAACAGTTACTCAAATGATAGAGTATTGTATTTTGAGCCGCCAATAAATCATTATCACTGAATCGATCTGTATGATAATTGACATCATATTGAATATATGCTTTTTACAACAAACAAGTGTGTACTCACCAATGCTATCGAAATTCAGCGGTTCACTATCTGTCGATTGATCAAGTTGTTTCTGGTACAGATATTTTTGAAAATACTGATTCAAACTAATCAAAGGTACCATTAGTTGGGCCGGTGTCGTGCTCAATGTAAACAATTGAAATGCAAGCGTTGGTAACTCTTGCGGTTCCAATTTCATCAGATTTTCGCAGAGTTTATTCAAAATTAAAAGTTTGTCATTCTTCATTATTGGCATTTCCCTATTTTTGTATTGAAATTGAACATTTTATTGAATTTTTCAAAAGTTTTGCTTTATGGACGGTTGTATACTTACAAAAACATTGCTCCAATACTACTTAAAACTGTTTCGGGCCATCTTGATGCGAGCAAATTTTTGATTTGCGAATCACAGAACTCACTTCCAGTTTTCACTTCATTTTGGACAATGATTTTTGGCATATCACTCAGCAATTTTAATAGCTCTGGAAATAGCTCTTTCCATCTGAAAGCATAAGCACAAATTTAAATAGATATTTTGAAGAGATAAAAAAATTGGTCTTACCCGGTGCATTTGGGATCGCCAACTCGTAATGAATCAACACAATATTGACACAATTGAATCAGTTCTTGTGGTCGCAACTTGGGTAGTTCAATAAAAGTGCGTGTAATTAAATCGAATGTTTGTTTCGATGTGATTTCAACTTTGTTCATCTCTTGTAGCATGGCCATCAAAATGGAAAAACGGGTATTGTTCATCGAACCCGAATTCGATTCGCATCCAATCAAAAGATAGTTCCATAAAATCGTCGCATCCGATCGATCAATTCGCTTAACGATTGTTCGTTCAAGCTGCAAATGGACATGTAATAAATTCACGAAAATGCATTTTTACGACGATAAATGAAAATTCGAAAAATACCAACCAGTTTTGTATCACACTTCGCAAGGAGTTCTTGCAATTGGCTAAATTCTTTATTTTGACCCAGTTCGATGATTTGTTTGGTCAAATTATCCGAGCTCATAACACTCCTATCCGATTTTCGTGACATTTTCAATTTTTTTCAATTTTTTCCACAAAAAATAGATGCATTCGTATTCCACTGATTTGTATCTTTTTCGATTGTTTATGATAAAAACAAGTAACCGAAGCGCGCCAATATTAGCATATCCGTCAGTTTGACATTTCAAAAATAAATGCGTGCGTTTAATTCCAACTCATAAAAATGCGAATTTTTCGAATGATTCGTTGAATTCAAATAAAAGAAATTAAAAAAAACGATTTCTAGTTATTGCACTCAAACTATGCACATTAATACACGGATGAATTGCGCCACGTTCGATTTAATTATTTACAAACGTGTTGATGAAAGAATTTATGAAATTTCAATTAACTGTTTACAAGCTTCAAATTGAGCATCTGTCAAATGTAATGCAATTTTGACATATAAACAAATTTCACTGAAGTTGTCGATCGAAAGCAACATAATCAAAACAAAACGAATATTTGTACTAAATTTAAGTTTTGTGTACCGAATCAAAACAAGTTTTTTGTTTCAACTTTAAGATAAAATTGTGTGTATAAAAAAAGTATCGTTGAATTGATTTTCATTCATATTGGTGAACGAACGATGGCATCGCCGGAGCGAAAACTGAAGTTATGTGCATTACCGACGTGTAAAGGCAAGCGATATGATTTGGTGCATAAATTTCCGATGAATAATGAGCGCGCCCAACAATGGATTGATATTGTGGATTTGCCGGAATTAAAAAATCTGCCAATCGATAAAGTTCGAAAAAGGTTTTTCATATGCTCGAAACACTTTCGACCTCAAGATTATAAAAATTGCGAATCAAGGAGCTTGAACACAACCGCATATCCACGATTATATCTCAAAGAAACGGATGAAGAAGCAAACGAAACAGTTTCGTCATCGAATATAAATACTGACGTAGATGAATTGAATGTACAAGAGTATGAATATGTTGCGCAAGAAACAGCTATTGAAGTTGATCCAATATCAACTGAAATACCGATAAAATCGGAAACCAAACAACCGCCCATTCAATTTGTAGTGTGCTCACATAAAAATGATGTGCCAATAATATTGAGAAGGAATCGAATTAAAAAACCAGAAATCGTTGTTCAGAAATCAATTCAAATCCAAGCGATACCAAATTCAATGATCGTAAATGGATGCACGAATCAAATCGACGAAAATGACACATTGAAAAATGGCGATGCGAACAATTTCATTTTAAAACGAAGTGCTAACGTCACCATTGAACCCGTTTGCAAAAGAAATCGTTTAAATGAAATCGATGTGAGGAGAACCTATTGTAATCCATCGCAAATCAATCAAAAAGGTAATGTTGACAATTATGTTATGATTTGCACTGAAACACGTCACGTTAATGATTGTATCAATTTTCAGATACGTCCGAAGAGAAAAGTAAAATGATCGAAATTTGTCATTCGGATCTTCAAAATTCGCTTAAAGTGTGCAGTTTTTGGTTACGTGATCACTGTCGCTGCTCAATTTGCTACTCTTGTGACACTTTCCAACGAAAGACAAATATTATTGATATCCCATTGGATATTGAACCAATAGACATAAAAGACGAAAATAATCTCATCCATGTGACATGTAAGTATAAATTCCGCGACATTTCGTAACATGTTCTCTTCATCTTTTTCTCTCTCTTTCGAATGTTTCCTTGATGAAAGGGTCCGACGGACATGAATCGAGCTACGATATATTTGAGCTGAAGGATCGACTAAATCCCAAACTACAGCCAATTGTTGAAAAATGTTTGTGGACAGGCGCTGAAATTGTTTGCAGTGATTATGCGAATGTTACTCTAAATGATTATTTATGTAATGACGATGTTGCCAAAAAGGTGGTGACCAGTCTCATCAAATTCGGATGTGCTTTCATAAAAAATGTTCCGGCCAATCTACAAAGCACTGACATCGCCGTTCGACGACTTTTTTCCATACAAAAAACAAATTTCGGCGAAATGTGGTCGTGTTCAGACAATAAGACACACAACGATAATGCCTATACAACCGAAGCGTTACTTGCCCATACAGACAACACATATTTTACCGATGCAGCTGCTTTAAAGGTGTTACACTGTACAAATCGAGATGGTAGTGGCGGTGAAAGCCTATTCGTTGATGGATTCAATGTACTTAAACGGTTACGAGAACAAAACCCCGAAACTTATGAATATCTTAGCAAAACAATCATTCCGTCGGAATACATTGAAGATGATTATCACTTTAAACATCATGCACCGGTCATCAATATCGATCCATTGACTAATGAACCAAATCAAATTCGGTAACGTTAAGTTTTCAACAACAAAAAAGTCCACAATATTAATGTCCACATTTCTTTCAATTTTTATTATTCAATTAAAGATTCAACATGAACGATCGGGCTTTTTTGAACAATATTCCACAAGAAGAAATGCTGACATTTTATAAACATTACAGAATTATTGCAATGGAAATTCAGCGTGAAGAGAACGAATGGCGTTTCATACTCGAACCAGGAACTGTGTGCATTTTTGATAATTGGCGACTGTTACACGGACGCAACGAATACACGGGTCGACGGCAAATGGTTGGCTGCTATGTTTCTCGAAGTGAATTTTGCAGTGTTTCTCGCCGATATGGCATGATTTCATAGTAAACGCCAAAAATCATCTTATTTTATAAAATTTGATATATATACTATAAAATTTGTCTACCGTTCTAAACTAATTATTGCATATAAAAGAAATTTTTAGTCAACATTTATTCCAAGTAAAATATTCTTTACAAACAAATCTGAACTATATACCAAAACTATATACCATTTGGGCTTGATTCCAATTGAAGCTTTTGGACCCAAAGGAATGGTTCGTGCCGAAAATGAGCCACCAATTCATTGTGTTGAAACCATGTATGGCTATTATGGACCAAATACTGCACCAATATGGTATTCATTCCCAAGCCGATTTAGATTGGCATATCAGCAATAGATGAATCACTTCTTTGACGTTGTTCTTGGAAAATGTGAGCCAAGCGTTAAATCAAAAGAAACATTGGCTGTGAGTAAAATTGCTTCGGCTTGTGAAGAATCTGCACACACCGGAAAAATGGTTGAGTTGAATTGGGCCACTGGTGAACTTCCTGAAATTCAATAAAATTAACATGCACACAGGCAAGAGATCTAAATGCAGTCGAATCTAACATATGCTTGTAGTTCAACATTTGAAAAAATCTAAATAAATATGAATTTATTAATTGTTAATTGTTTCGTTTTAAGATTCTACAAAATAAACTTGGCTATGGAGGAAAAATTTGCGAAAACTTTTCGAAATACCCAATATAATCGATGTCTTATACACATAGAGATTTATTATGAATAGAGAGAGAGAGAGAGAGAGAGAGAGATAGGTAAGAAAGAGACGATAGCAAAAAAAATAATTACTACAGCAATTTTTTTTTCTTGTCGTATCAAATCGTTTAAAATCAAAATTCTTTCCGTTAGAAATTTAAAAAAAAAAAAAAAAAAATAGTTTATAATGGAAGGAATAAAAAAATGAACCATATATCAATTCAAACACTCGATATTCGTACAAATTGAATAATATACATTGATATTGCATCAAGTACCATTTTTTCTCTAGTGCGATAACGTCGATCAAATTCCAAATAATAATCACTACTTTATTGTTTAAATTAGTCTTTGTTCGTCAATGGATTTTAACAATAATGCCAAGAGTGATAACATTGATTATGTGTTTAACAAAATTGTTCGATTATCTATAACAAAAATGGTACTTAAACATTACTTTCAATTGAGTTTTGTTTCTGGATTGATTTCGATCACAAGTTGGATCACTCCATTCTCGATCTTTCTATTTAAGCCAGTTTGCATTTGAGCCCCAAAAATTTTGGTTGCATTTAGTTTGATTGAGAATAAAATTTCATTTTAAATTACATAATAAAATGCCGCACGCAAAAGATGGAATGTTAGTTTTTCATCATGAATTGCTGAAAAATCCAATTGAAGTTTGCAGTTTTTGGTTACGTGACCATTGTAGATGTGCCGATTGCTATTTTAGTGAGACGTTCCAACGAAATTTTAATATCAGTGAAATTCCGTTGGATATCGAGGCGACAAATTTTAAAACTGAAAATGATGTTATTCATGTTACTTGTGAGTTTGAACAATACCTCCGTTTTTCACATTTTCTAGATGATTTTTGTTTATAGGGTCGGATGGGCATGAATCAAGCTATAATATTTTGGATTTAAAGGACATGATAAATCCAAAACAAGTGTCAGTTTCGAAAACATTATGGACCTCTGCTGATATTATGCGCAGTGATTATGCCAATGTTGATTTTAACGAATATCAATGCAACAATGATGTATCCAGACAGTTGGTGGCAAGTCTTGTGAAATTTGGATGTGCTTTCATAAAAAATGTTCCGGCAAATATTGAAAGCACTGAAATAGCAATAAAACATCTTTTTCCCGTTCAAAAAACTCTGTTCGGCGAGATGTGGTCTTTCTCCGACTATAAGGAGCACAGCGACACAGCGTATACCAATTTTGCATTACCAGCGCATAATGATAATACATATTTTAACGATGCGGCCGGTTTACAAGTGTTACATTGCGTTAAACGTTCGGGCTCCGGCGGAGAAAGCTTACTCGTCGATGGTTTCAATGCAATTAAGAAGTTACGACAACAAAATCGAGAAGCCTATGAATATCTTTGTAGAACATTCATTCCAGCCGAATACATTGAAGAGGGATTTCATTTCAAACACTGTGCTCCGGTTATCAATATTGATCCAATGACAAATGAACCATATCAACTTCGGTAAGCGATCAATTCGATTTATTATGATTAAAAGTATAATGGATATGTTTGTCTAAATTAAAGATTCAATATGATCGATCGTGCTGTTTTCAACAATATACCACAAACGGAAATGATGAAATTCTATAAGCATTATAAAGCGCTGGCCAAGGAAATTCAGCGAGAGGAAAATGAATGGCGTTTCAAATTAGAACCGGGAACAATTTGTATTTTCGATAATTGGCGCTTATTACATGGTCGCACTGAGTATTCGGGTCAACGACAAATGGTCGGCTGCTATGTTGCACGCAATGAATTCATGAGCGTCGCCAGACGATACGGCATGGTCGAATAAATCAATTCAACTGGCTAACATTTCAATTAAATTAAAAAGGAAACAGCTGATTTACTTTCATTTTCAAATATAATTTTATGTGTGTTCGTCAACATAAGAAGTAGAGATAATAAAGTTATAGATTTCAACAGTAAATGACATAAAAGAGGTTCCAATTGTTTGTGTCATGAATTCAATAGTCTGTTGCTTCTTCCTCTGCATTCGATTGGGTTTTCGATCTGAAAAATAATGACAGTCAAATTATGTATCACGGTCCATTGTTTGTGATTATAATTAGCTTACTTTTTTCTATCATGGTCTCTAGATCGCATGCGATGTATGAAAGCGGCTCCTTTATTTTTCCGAAAATTTTCGTACGGATCGTTTATATTGATTCCAACGCCCTTATATTGATCTTGTCGATCACGTACGTCACCGCCTGAAATAGGTGTTTCAATACCTTGGCCCTGTGCACCTAAACCAGAACCAGACCATCCCATTTTCATGAGCAATTGATGCCCTTTGTTAGTCTCTTCTATGCAATCATGCTGTGTCTTTTGCGAGAAATTACTAAAATTGGAAATAGAAACAAAAACAAACTGAAGAAAGAAGTAACCATTGAAATGTATAAAAGAATCCTTACACGAAGCTTGTTGGTGGCGTTTGACTTCTTCGAAGTGCTGGAGATCGTTTTGGTGATTGTCGTTGATGACGACGATTATTATTACCTCGTCTTGATGGTCGAGGTGAAATGGAACGCGATCGAGAATTTCTACGTTCTCTTTCGCGTTCCCGATCTCTTTGCTCACGCTCACGCTCTCTATCACGTTCTCTACTTCGGCTTCTGCTTCGGCTTTTGCTTCTTGTTTTCGATCGATATCGACGCTTATTTATCCGTTTGGGCTTAACAGGTTCCAGCAAAATCGGAGTGGGGGACCTTGATTTTTCACGAACGCCCTGCTCAACTTCTTCTTCTTTGATTTTCTTTGCTGCATTCTTCACTTTGTAATACTCATAGAGTCCCAATTTCTCCCATCCCTCACTAATTTAACAAAAATGTAAACAATTTTAACATTTGAAATAAAAATTTGAAAGAAACTAAACAGAGAAATAGGAAGTGAACTATTTACCCGTCTCGTGGTCGATCGTGGCTTGGAAGAGAATAAAATGCTTCGATTGCTTGCAATAAACGTTCACTGGGTGGAATTGGTGCAGGTAATCGAATGTCTTCCGGATCGAGTGCTTTGTAGCTGCAATCTTCGAGGCGAATTAATGGAACCATTAGACCAGCTGGCAGTTCATAATAAGGTACTGTTGGCTTTGTATCTTCTGGTATGGGTTGTGCTGCGGCCGCTGCAGCTGCAGCTGCTGCTGCCGCAACTACTGCAACTACGTTTGCATTCCGTGTTTGACAATCGTCCATTGTATTTCCCACGGGCAAATTTGCCATTGGTGGTGGTGCATTAAAACCAGGCGGTGGCTTCGACATATCTGGTATCATGAAATTTGGCGGCGGCAATTGATAGTGTGCCGTTTGTGCGCTATGATTTATCGATTGTACACTATTTTGGATTGAAGCTGGTGGTGGGTCAGGATTCTGAAATTTTTTAACAAATTAGCACACATATTATGTGAATAATCACAAGAAAGCATTGAAAGCACTCACTTGGAAATTATTCTCTGCGGGAAAGTTAATTCGTTGCTGTTGCGATGAAATATAATTTGGATTCATTCCGGTGCGTGGCATCGTTATGTTCTGGCTCATAAGAGGCGGTGGTGCAGTGCTTAACCGATTATCATTTCGATTGAAATTATTTGCATTGCCATTTATGCTATTGTTCTGATTTGCATCGCATTCGTTTGGATTTAAATGGGGATGGGGCGCTTGATCCGATGATGATGCTTGTGCTGGTGACTGTGACGGCTGAGTTAATGGCTGTGATTGTTGATTCTTTAGAGTCAGTTTTTGTTGGTCAAGAATTGCTATTTGTTGTGAGGCATGCTGAATGAAAATTTGATGTTGTTGCTTATAGCTGAAAGTAATGGAAATGAACAAAAAAAAACTTATTGCCATCGTTCGACGGTGATTGCGAACGGTTTTGAATTGCACTTACCCTTCGAATGTTTTTTGAGTTTGTTGTTGCATGGCAGAAACAATTGGTAGATGTAAATTTACTAAATTTGTCTTATACTCAGCCATAGAAGAATTTGGCGACTGCAATTTTGAAATGACACATGCATCGAATAAATTTGATTTCGATTCCCACAACGATAAAAGTTTCAATAGTTTCGCCTTTTGTTCTTCACTTGCAACTGCAAATTTTAAAATCACACAATGTCGGTTATTTGTAATTTTGACAATCAAAATGACAATGACTTACTTATTTCAGCGCTACAAAACATTGGAATGACAATGTTTTCCAAATTACTTTTCAAATCATCGGCATGTTTACGAACACTAAATTTAAATAAACGAAAATGATTACGAAAATATGGTTTACGTGTTTGTTAGTTGACAATGTTAACTCACCAGTGGTGCAATACATCATTCACCAAATAGATTAAATGAAGTTTTTGTTGGAACGTCACGTCATTTATCAGTGCCCTGAATGAATAAAATGCGCATTATAAGAAATCATTTGATTGAAAATTTCAATTCGAAATTAAATAAATAACTGAGCTCACTTCTTCAAAAGATATTGCATCAATACATTGCATTTAGCTGCATCGCCTGCATATTGTAAAATCCAATTTTTCCCTAAAATAAAAACAAAACACATAGTTTCACAATTCACACTTTAGCCAAATGCAAGCCAAATGGATGGAAATTAACGAAGTGCATACCTGCTGAAATGCTATCTTTGGTGCATGAGTCGATAATTGGTTGTAAAATTGTATCGAACTCATTTAGTCGAATGCTATTCTCTTCGGCTTGTTTTAAGACAGTTTCATGCTGTGCTTTTTCGATGGCTTCATCAATTTGATTTTGTTGTTGCTGCATCAAAACCTGCAAATTATTCAATCATAGCAATTCATTAGCACACTTAGACACTTGGGTTGCACGTGTCAATACAAGGCGATACATTACATTGTGTTGTGCACTCAAATTTTGTTCCGATTGTCGTATTTGTTCCTGCAGCGTTATTTGCTGAGCATTAATTGCTTCAATTTGACTAGCTATGTTGTTATTAACACCTGAACTGCTTACGGCAGGCAATGTTACGCTGCCTGTTGCTTGTATAGTATTCCAATTTGGTTGCATTTGCATCATCGGTGGTGTCTGTGGAATTGGCCCTTGCTGTTGATTTTGCTGTTTTAGAACTGTTTAAATTCAAACACATATGCACAAAATTTATAAATAATAATAATAATAATTTCGCTTTAAATGACATTTGGATCGTCGCAATAACTTACTTGCTTGTTCAGCTGACACCCGCCACTGATAGTATTGATAGTATTCACCGCCAAATAAAAAACTGAAGCGTGGATTCGATTGTTGTTTTGCCTTTGTGATTGTTTCAAATTCCGGTCCATTGCGTGCCACAAACTCAGCCAATTTATCGATAATGTTTCGCAATCCAGTATCTGCCCAAATGCAGCAACAAAAAAATAAGTGTAAATGTCAAATTTCATACGATATAACCATCTGAATTTCAATCGGTTTTAAAACACACAAATTTTCAATATTTATACCTTTTGGCGGTGCCGGTATATTGTCCATTTCGAACAAAATGTTACAAACGTTGCGAAATTTTTAGAATTTTATTTGAACAACGGCGGTGCGGGTTTTTATTGCAAATCAACCAGCAAATCTAAATAATCCAAGAACGTGACGCCATATATTCATAAACAAATCAACTGTCACATATTCAACATGAAGATGGCTTCGTTAACTCCACTCAAATTTCGATTCACACGTTAAATCCAACCAAAACAAAACAAAAATCGCAAATTTTTTTCACAACAGAAAAGTAAAAATTAAAAAAAAAAAAAATCAAAATCTCGATACGAAAACTGAAAATCAAGGAATTTATTTAAGTTTAACTTCAAATGCATTTCTTTTGAAATTTTGGAATTAATTTGAATTCCATAAAAAAAAAATATTTTTTCTCAGTAAAATAATTTGAATAATTTCTAGTAAATTTATCTAATTTAAGAAAAATTCCATAAATATTTTTATAAAATTATGAAAAATTTGCAAATAAATATATACAACATTTATTTTGTTCGTTAAGTATTTGTGGCATGTATCGTTGAGTACAACAATTCAATGTCATAAAATGACATCTATGTAAAGTGCATGTTTTGTTGATCAACAGCAAAACAAATACGGAAAAACTTATCACAATTCACAATTTTGCTGTAGTTTTATGGAAACGAATATCCAAAGTGAATCAGAAAATGATCATAGATTTTTAATTATTAGCCAATTATACATAAAATTTTATAAAAATGGTTTGCTTGTTGTGTTATGAGACGAATCAAGATCTAATATCAGTAGACGGCGACCAAGGCAAAAAGACATCTATTTCATTCTTACTGCATAAATATTTTGGTTTTTTATTTGAGGTAAAAGATTCTTTCTTTTTCAAACGTTAAATTTAACAAACAACTGAAACTTTATCATATAATATTTCACAGATCGAACCATGTGATGGCGATTTATGTACGAAATGCTGGGAGAACACAATATCATTCCATAAATTCTATACACACATTAAATCTGTACATGAATTGATCGACAAAACCAAAGAAACCATCCATAGTGAACCAGTTAAAATAGAAATTGATGAACGCGATTTGAAAGAGGAAGAAAGTTGCTTTTCGGAATGTGATAATTGGTCATTTAATAGTGAACAGGATGATTTTGATCCAGGTCCAACGGGTAAATTTCATTTCTCTTTTTAATTTGAGACATTTTAAATCGAAGAATCTACTTTGATGAAATCTTGTCCAAAAAAAAAACAACAATTTTTACTACAAGTATATTTGCCATTTATAAAACTGTATAGATTCATCTGCCAATATAATACCACCACATATAGTCGAGATAAATGAAATCAAGGCGGAAGTTTCCATTGGAGAAAGACCGAAAAAGAAATCTATCAAACAGGAAAGCAAAAAAGTATCAAAGTCGTCGACGAAGTAAGTGGCAAACTTTTGGGTATTGTCAATACTCTGACAAATAATTGATTTTTTTTTAAATAACAGAAGCAAGCGTAAGAAATCCACACGAGGTCGTCCAAAGAAAGTTGTATTTACGTGCAAAATAAAAATGTGTCACGAAGAATTTGAAACTCAGGAAGAGCTTATATCGCACAAAGTCAATGCTCACAGACGAATTCAGTGCACACATTGTCCCGATCTAAAATTGGTCGTCGATCTGAACAAACATTTACGAAATTCGCATGGTATTTCACAGAATTCAATGTGCGAACATTGCGGTCAGGTATGTAAAAGAAATAATTTGAAACTTTTGCCGAAAAATGTGACACTAAATGCTTGCTTTTCAATACATTTGAAGGTCTATACAAACACACGAAGTCTACAGGTACACTTTCTTAAAAATGTTTTTTTTTTATTTGATTGTGACTAATTTATCCAAATGTAATTGTTCAATTTTAGGATCACATACAGAGAAAACATGAAATAACTGAGCCACTACAGTGTGACATTTGTAAAGAGTGGTTCAAATCTCGGGATACAATTCGAGCTCATATGAATTATGTTCACGTACAAGGACCACAGGCGTGTTCAATTTGTGGCAAAATTTCAGCAAATCGCAAAGCATTGCGAAAACATCAAACGATCCACATCGAAGCGTGGAAAGATCGTTTCAAATGTATTATTTGCGGTCGAGGTTTTCGTGATAGTACCAAACTCAAAGTAATTCATTTCAAACTAAAACCAATACACACTTACATATTAAAATATTTTTGTATGTTCATTCATTAGGAACATTCTTACATTCATTCGGGAATTACCGACGCGTATTTTTGTCAAGTAAGTCAAAAATGACATTTTCGTCACAAACATATTCAGCCGTAGAATATGTAAAAGATTTATTTTGTAAAATTGTTGATGCGATTATTTTTGTTTATAGTTTTGCGGTCAATCTTTTCGATTCGGATCATCACTCTCGGCGCATCGAATGAAGTACCATCCCATTGAAATGAGCCATGTCAAAGAACGGTTACAGCGCAAAAAGAACTTAGAATTTAAAGTTTAGTTTAAATCAATTGACTCATTTCATAAGGAGTCATTCACTTTTGTATGCATTCAATGATGAATTTGATTCTCTCATACTATTACAATACTTAATTCAAATATTTACATCAACTTAAGTACATGCTTCTCTCATTTCAAAAAGGAAATCAATTGGATTCGAACAAAATACTTCTTTTTAGTAATTCATCATTTTGACCACAAATAAATTGGTGGATGCAAGCCAAGCATACATTTAAGAAAAAATCTTTACTTAACAATATTTGACTTACTAGATTTTAATTGATAGTTTTTAAGAAGCTGATATTGTTTAAATAAGTTAAAAAAATAAATTCAATACACATTTCGATATCACAAAAAATCTTCTTAATTGTAAATCTTCCGTTTTTCGTTGAAAATCGACAAAGACAATTTCGGTGAACAAAAACATTCTCTGTCTATAATTTACACATTAACCGATAATTCGAGTAAGTATTGTCGACCAATAAGTACTCACATTTCATCTCTTATACTTACTCGCTGTCATATTGTAAGAGAAGGAAAGTCAAAACGATTTGTTGTTAGTTTGTTTTTCTTTTGGCAACCAAAGAAGATGCATTAAAATTATTAAACAAAAAAAATGGTTTGTTTATTATGCTTTGAGACCAGTGGCGATCACATCAATCTGTCGGGTGTGGAAGGTTCCATTTCGCAGATATCATCGATTGTATATAAATACTTCCAATTCATGTTCGAGGTGAATGGCGCTTGTTCGTAATTATTGTTCTGACGAATTTCATCTTTCGATTTTTCCATCTTATCCATAATATTTAGAGCGAACCTGCCCAAGGTGAAATATGCCGAAAATGTTGGATAAAAGTGGATATGTTTCATGCTTTTTATCAACACATCGAGGAAATTCAATCAAATTTAATAAAATCGGATCCATTAGTCGCTGAAAATCTTGATATAAAAAGTGAAGACACTTTGAGCCATATGCAAAAAGAAGAATCAAACAATGATACAAATTATGGTTTGGAGTTCAATGATACCCATTGGAACGATGATTTTGATGCAAATCAATCAGATGCCTCAACCAGTAATAAATTATTTTCCATCCTTTCACGTAACATGAATTTTGATTTTGTTTTCATATTATTCAAGATTCCAAAAGGGATATTGTAACCGTAGAATTTAGTATGAATGAACCGACTGAAGACAAACCGGCTGAAGACAAACCGACTGAAATAAAACCGATAAAGTCTAAAGTAGCGAAAAATAAAGCGACGACAAGAAAATATCAGCGGAAGTATGTGGTATTCAAAATTTACCGATGAAATAAAATGAACCATATGTAATTTCTTTTTTTTCTTCTCCTCTATAGAAAAAAATCATCGAAAACGAGTACAAATACATCTAATCAACATACGTGTCCGAATTCAAAATGTCGACGGAAATTCGAGGCAAAAGATACGCTCATTGCACATTGCGCACAAGAACATGCACGCTTTCATTGTACACATTGTCCAAATATTCGAATGTTTGCCGATTTATACAAGCATTTGCGTGACGTTCATGAAATAGTCGAAAACGCCATATGCGAACATTGTGGCATCCAATTCGGATGCAATCGAACGTTACAAGAGCATATCAAGCGAAAGCACACAGTCAGTGATCCGGTTCAATGTGATAGTAAGAAGTGCTCGAAAATAGATCAAGAGCGTTAGTTAATTATTTTTTTCGTATATTCGTTCTAGTTTGTAAAGAATGGTTTAAAAGTCGAGAAACGATTCGATCACACATGATTTATGTGCATATTCAAGGTATTTGAAAAATTAATGATAATGATTTTAATGTGGAAATGCTAACTAAACTGGTATTTTAGGACCACAAGCATGCGGCATATGTGGAAAAGTGTCGGCGAATCGAAAGGCTTTACGAACACATCTCACAATACATTCAGAAGCTTGGAAAAAATTTAAATGTGTGATTTGTGACAAAGGATTCCGCAGTAGTACAAAGCTTAGAGTATGACATTTTGAAGAAAAAACTATACACGTTTTGAATATTTTACAAAATTACAATATTATATACGGAAATTTGTTTGTTTAATATAGGAACACTCCTACATCCATTCGGGAAAAACCGATGCATACGTGTGTCAAGTAAGTGATCAACAATAAATGCAATTTAAAAAAAAAGTCAAATTAATTTTGAACAATATTTTTGTTTAGTTCTGTGGCAAAAGTTTTCGATTTAATTCTTCGATTTCCGCGCATCGAATGAAGTATCACCCAGCTGAAATGGCTCACGTCAAAGAGAGGCTACAACGAAAGCGTAATATGGAATTCAAAGTCTAACAGCAACAGCCTTGAACAGTATTTTTTGAATGTTCGTTTTACGTACATGATTTAGATAAGTTACAATATCCAAATTTAACAAGAGAATAAAATAAAGCGATTCCAATTTTGTTAATTTTACGTGATTACAAACTTTTTGAATGTATGATTAGATTATATGAAAGGATCACATGTGCGAGAAAGAATTGCGTGAAAAATTTGTGCGCTTATAGCTGCTTCGAAATTTTTTTATTATAGCTCAATGAAGAATTACAAAAAAGAGAAAAAAGATCGGTTCTAATGCGAAGGAAACAAATTATCCAACGTTATTTATTGATGCCATATATCGTTTCAATTTTGTAAAATATAAATTTCTACTTTTAATTAAAAAAAAAAATGGCAGTGACCTTTTCATTTTGAAAACAACTGTGGCGGTATTCTAGCCAAATAATTCCGATCGGAGTTTATTTAATTCGACCAAATGCTCTTCAGAGATGAAACGCTCAATGATTGTACGCGTGGTGATTGCCCGCTAGCGTCGTTATTGGTGCTGATCAATTCGATGTTTTCAAATACTTCAGTTGGGAAGAATATTGCGGTGATAAGGTTGACACCATCATCAGCAAATATTTCAATTGAAGCCACATCTAAAACAATAGTGCCGAAAAGTGTATCACTTGTACTGACTCGATCGGATGTCATTACTTTATTAGCAAATCGTTCGTGGAATGAAACATTTCCAGAATGCATACGATTAAATTCGTAGACATTTTTCTCAACATCAAATGCAAACGATACAAATTCGCCACGATTATTGCTGAATTGTAGACCGCATTTGCCTGTCGTAAGATTTGCAATGTCAATGGCATACTCCAATTTTAGCATTGAACCAGTTTTAAATGGAATTTGTTCGGTTAAATTGATTTGGTTGGCATTGATGTTGAACGGTGCTGGCATTGACCATGTTTGACTTATCTGTTTATTTAATTCTTCAACCGGCCGTTGGGTTAGATAAAGATCACCGCCAACAAATTTAATTCCCAATTCACGTGGAATTGTATATTGTCCACGCCATGTTGATGTTGGAATTTTGTCTGCATACAACCAATTTGACATCCAGCCAATTAAAATGACACGCCCCAGAGGATCATTATGATATGGAACAGCTGCATAATTATCAATTGCATCCTCTGCCCAATACATTTTTGATGTATTATAACTATTGAATCGGCTACCATTAAATTTACCGATAAAGTATTGGAAAAGGGATCCTTTTGCTTCACCATTTTCAGAAACTAATAGTACATCGTGTTGATTGTTTTGGTCATCTTTTAGGGTGACAAGTGCCGGACATTCCCACACACCCGATGTGTCTCCTTCTTCTGGATCAATTCCAAAATCACCAACCCATTCCCAATTTTTGAAATCCTTACTTTTGTAGAATGAAACTCGATCTTTAACAGCCAATGTCATGTAGTGCTCTCCCTCGTGCTCGAAAACATTTGGATCACGAAAATCAGTTATGCCCGGATTGTCAATAACTGGATTTGCATGATATTGCTTCCATGTGGTTCCATTGTCAAAGGAATATGCCATACCTTGAGATTGTTTATCACCGTCAACAAGCGAAAATAAGGCAACCATTGGAATGTCGGTGTGATCTTCCGTTGAATTTGGAGCAAAGTTGGTAACATTGTCTTTATCCAAAACGCAGCAACCACTGAATATTTGACCTTCATCGTAGGGCTCAATGGCAATAGGTAAATTCTCCCAATGAATCAAGTCGCTCGTTCTTGCATGACCCCAATGAATAGCCGATCCCATCTTGGTATCGTACGGATTGTATTGGTAATAGAAGTGATAATACCCATTAAAGTAAATTAAACCATTTGGATCGTTTGACCATTGAGTTGGAACGGAATAATGAAGTTGTAGACGATGTTTTTCATTGTAAGTTGCCTTATCAGCTACAACTGCCAATAAGGAAACTGTACAAAACAATAAAAATTTAACGAATAACTTTGACATACTTTCAAAAATGTTTGAAAATTGTTTTTGATGTAAACCGAATCGTTTGTGATCAGTGCACAAATTACAATGTGATTAGACCAAAGCTTCCATCTTTATTTATATGATTCGTGAATCAATGCAAAAGAAAGGAAATAATAAATTTGGCACTGATAAGAAACACTGATCTTTGTTTATGATGTGTGCGACATGTGTCTTCGGTTTTGTCTGCTTCTTTTGCATGGCAATAAAGTATTGTGATTTATAATGATTTAGATAAGTGCACACATTTTTTTGTGCGTCTAAGCACAATCATAAAAGTTCCATGAGTTTTATAGCATAAAGCGGAGTGTCACATCTCACGTGCAAATCTAGGGGCTTTTATCTTCAAATGTATACGATTTATACTGTAAATAGTGAACTATATTGCAAAATCATCTGTAATACGCGCAAATAAATGTGCATAACTGCATATATTTGGTGTATATTTCGTGTATATTTCGTCTATGGCATGTTATTTCATTCTCTTTTGTGCGGATCTTCTTCGATTCTGTGTAGCAATACTGTGTGTGTGTGTACACTGAAGTTTGAAATACATCTTATTCACTGGTATAGGCGAGAAATTTTAATCGTATATATGATGAATAGGACGTGAATATTGTGTATAAATTTGTATGAACGAATGATGAAAGCCCCTAGGTGCAAATGCTTCCAAACAAATAACTGGAACAATTTTGTTTTCTTTTATCAAATGTGAAATTTTTAAAATCAAGATATACTTTCACTCTTTGTGTCATGAAAACAAATGTGCTTTAAATAATTTCCATCAAAACTATTAGTAATTCCATTAGTAGTGAGATTTAGTCATTTAGTAGTTGAATTGAATTGTTATCATTTTTAAATAAATATATATTTTATCATCAGACATAAGACGTCAAACACTATGTTTGAATCAAGCACGATTCTTGAATATACGCAATAGCATATTCAAAACAATCAATTTATAGTTTGCAAATAAAATCGCATTGGAATTTTACCATGACAGTTGAGCGTGTGAATTGCGTGCAAAGGAATTCGCATGTCATCTTAATATTAAGTTTTACGGAAAACATATTTGTTAACCATGACAATAGCGATATTTAGCTTAAAAGATAACATTCTATTATGTACTCCCCATTTCAAATTAATTATTATGCCATAAAGTGAAAAAAAAATAACATCGTCTAGACTATTATGTTTTACAGGCTATTGCGAGAACTTTCATCGATCATCAAAAACAAGCGTGAGACAATTTCAAATAACTTCTTTTTCGACCTGTGTGGAAGATTTGATTTTCCGGGGCATCAATTTGTATTTTACACGTGCAAGTGATAAAACATCTAAATGGCCAAATGTCATTTATTGTTAGCATAACTTATAAGCCATAGTCGTTGATAATCGAAATTGAAACCAACATTTCTTGCACTCTCAATCAAAGTTAAAATGCCGTAATCTTGTAGGAAAATTATCATTGGACGCATGTTTTGAAATCAACCGCCAAAAATGACTTTGTATGACGACTCGACCTCGTAATGATGAGAAACCTGAGGACGAGATTTATGGGAAAACATAAGATTTTGGATGTTATCATCAAAATTATACATACATTTTCTTTATTATTTATATCTTAATCAATTTCACGTTATCACGTTGTTTTTAATATTTTAATTCGAAAAGCATTTACGCATATTGCTTCAAATCAAGTATCTTTCAGCTATTCCTTCATCTTCTTTATTTCTTAGATTATAACTATTGCGTTCATTCGATTTTTTCTTCGCAAACGGAATGTTGTACATCATCAAAATTTAATGACTTCATTGTATTCAAATTTAACATTTTTGAATCTTCTAAATACTTTTCTGTTTAAAAAAGAACTGAAAAACGTTATACATTCAAAATATCTTTTGGATAGAACGTACCCAAAATATGTTGACATCTGTCAAACAAATATAAAATCACATAAATATAAACAATAATCACATTTCACCTTCATCTCTGATATTCGAAATAAAGTTGATGAAAAAATCGCAACAAAAATGGAAAATGTGTGCCGATTGTGTGGATGTAAAAAAACTGGAAGGCAATTAATGCACAGCATTGACGATCAATCAATCGAACAGAAGCTAATCGATTGCTGTCGTTGGAAATCAAAATGTGAAACGTACAATTTACCGCGAAAAATTTGCAATTCATGCTCAAAAAATTTGGAAAAATGTTGGGAATTTGCCGAGAAAGTCGCACAAACACAACAAAATTTATTGGCACAAATAGCCAACACAAAACCAACGACACTTTCATCGTACACAAAATATGATTTTGATCAAAAGGAAATGAAAAAAGAGACTATAGAGAATATGGATGATTTCGAACAAAATCTTAGCGTAAATGATGTAGAACTTAATGAATTGAAAGAAGATCTCAAAATATCGTACACAGAAAATGTAGATGATTTTGAACAAAATCTCAGTGTAAATGACATTAAAGACATTGTCGATGTGGCCATGAGTCCGACCGTTCCATTTGATTACGATGATGATTTTCATGGAACAATGTCCGAGGAAAATTATTCCGAACCGTCAACAATTGAAGATGCAAAGCCGAGCTTAAGTGATATTCAATCGATGGACGAAACCCCAAATAAAAAGCACAAATTCGATATCAGATTATTGTCGGTTGCAGACAAAAACGATGATGGAACAGTGAAGAGAGCGAAAATTTTAGAATTAGGTTTGCACGATTGGTCAGAGATAAAATTGCGATGCTGCATGTGCCCGGAAACGTTTGAAACATATTATACATTGAGGCTGCATTACGACCAAAATCACAATCCTCAAAGTAAACTTCGAGTTCTTTGCCAATTTTGTGATGCACCTTTTGTTGGACGATCGGTTCTTATGCATGTTAGACGTGTTCATTTACCTTATCTGGAATATTGGTTTGTTTTTCATTTTTGAAACCATTTCGAATCATATATTGAAATCTAATACTCACTCAAGCAATTTTGTTTTGCACTTTCCAGCTGTAGAAGATGCAACATGTTCTATTGGGATTTGGATGCATTAAAAAAACATCAAAATGGCAAGCATACGAAGCCAAAGCCAGAAAATAGGATAAGCCACTTATGTGAGATGTGTGGAAAGAGCTGTGGTGGCAGAGCGGAATTGCGACAACATAAACGATCACATCTACCAATTGAACAACGACGAACATTCGAGTGTTATGTTTGCAAATCAAAATATACATACAGAAAAAGCTTGATACGTCACATGGAACCGGCACATTTCCATCGGTCCGTTAAACAATTTCAATGTGAAGTGTGTGCATTTCAGTTCAAAAGAGCCTATGCACTGCGACGACATTTAATGATCCATTCCGGTAAATTATATACAAGATCTTGAAATGTGGCTATTTTTTTGAATTCCCTTAATTGCATTTCTACCCTAGGTGAACATCCATATACGTGCCATTGTGGCAAAAGTTTTCGCACAAATTACCATTTAAAAGTTCATGAAAGAACACACACGGGTAGGTACCCAAATTGTGAATCTGCCGAAAATTGATGAAATTGTAATATTCTCTGTCTTTCAAGGTGAAAAGCCTTATGCTTGTTCATTTTGTGAATATCGCTGTTCAGCAGGGGAAAATATGACGAAACACATCAAACAACGACATAAAAATCATTTACAGAAGAAATAACACACTTTTTTGGCGTTCGAATCTCACTATGTTTCACCTCAACATATGACAACGGCATAATTTTTATGTATTTAGTTTAGCATTCTTTGTAAGAAAATTGATAAAATTTAAAAGAATAACTTCCAAGAGATTTTTTATGTGAAATTAAAGAAATGAAACATTTTTTTGTACGAAATCAAAGCGCCATCTATTGGATTCTACAATCCATATAAATTGAAGCATATGATGGGCTATGTTTGACAGTATCTTCTAGAAATTGGTTGTCAAACAGTGCACAGCAATAGTGTTTGCTTCACAAGGTAAGTTCGCATGTGAAATTTTTTATTTTTTTCTCTCAAATTATTCTTCAATTTTTGAATGACAATAAAAATATTAAAAAAAAAATACTTTTCATGAAATATAAATAAACGCTCAAAAATATTAATGGAAATATTCTGATGTTCCAAACTTTAGTTACCAATCATAAGTCATTTACAATTACGTAATGGAACCACAGAGTGTTGTGATATAAAAAGTCAAACTAATATGTGATTTACTTCATTTTTTTGCTTTTTTCTTTTGTTTTCAGTCAATCCATACAGCAAAAATGGGTCTTCACTTTGGTAATTTGTGGAAGTACTATGGTATGATTACATACACTATATCGCCGTTTGAGCAAAAGGCATTGAAAGGCGTAATTAACCCAGGCTTTCTTAATACATGCCGTCGAATCGCCGAAAATGTGCCATACATGGGTCCACGTAAGTTAGCCGACAAGAAAACTGTTCAAAATTCAATTTCGATCTAATTTTTCGCATTTTTGATCATATTTCATGTCAATTTTTATCGCCGATGTATTGCAGCCGCTCTTCTTAGTTACTTGGTCTACGAATGGGGAGAGCATGAAAACCATTTAACACATCGCAAAAATCCAGCTGATTACGAAAACGATCAATAAGCTTGTATTTACGGCGCGCTGGGGATGTTTGTCCAAAATGAAATATTCTGATGTAAAAAAAATGGAATGAAATAAATTGAACGTAGAGAATTAAAAAGAAAACAAATGTGTCTTTGTTTATTTTATTTATTTATTATTCATTTGGCATTGCAATGAACTTGCATTGAATATCAATAATTTAAATGCTTCTATGAAGAGCATTCGAACAGCGTATCTGGACATCGATGGTGTCATTTAACTGTATTATTCAAGAGAAAATTCGATAAATTTCACATGATTCGAAATGGGCAATTGTTCGTACAAAATATTTCTCTACGGTACTTTTTCTATCTTCATATCATATTTGTAGAAAATTTCACTTCGTTTTCACACATTTCCTTTTGTTTGTGTGTGTTTATGTGCCTCCCGATCTAAATGTGACAAACTGTCAAACTGTTTCACATACACGCCACACATAGACATCACCACAAAACATACTTACGCTAATACTGTCTTAAATAACAACGTCAAAACAGCGCACTATAAATCAGTGTTGGCATTGCGTCAACTTTGTGCAATTCTTTTTCATTCGTGCGAGTTTTGCCAGAAAATTTGTAATTTTCATCATCATCATATCATCAAGCCAACAACACAGTTAAATTGTTTCCTCATTTATTCGAAATCAATTGTCGCACACTATATTCGCAACTATATTCGACAAACATTGCTTCTACGTTCCTTTTGTACACACAATATTCAACCTCATCATCATCATCACACGTTTTGTTGTGTACATTTTTGTTTGTAATTGAAACAAAAAGTAGAAATAAAACTGTTCTCTCGAGAGATGCAAGAAAAATGGGAATTGTGAAAAGCAAATATTTAAGAAAATAAAAGATACACGAGGAAAATTATTTGAACATAACGACGAAGACGACGACGACATATCAAGTTGACGATTCGAACAAGTGGGATTTTTTTATCACAGTTTTGATACAAGAAAAGAAATTTGTGTGCATATACATTTTGTGTTAATTTTAATTTCCGCATTACACTTTCACAAACCGAATTATTGACCTTGAAAAATAAAACGCCAATCATTTTTTTTAGTTCTGCTGCAGAGCATACACACACGAAAATACAGTTATCCAAAGCTCTTATTAAAAAACTGTGGGCGGGAAAAAAGTAAAAGAAGAAAAAAAAAAACATTATATTCAACTTTTGATTAGTGGTGACAATTTGATTTAGAGGCAAAACAATAAAAAAAAATAAACAGAATGACAGACAGAACCGATGACGAGTTGCTCATCGAATTTAATGAATTTGTTCAGACAGAACCAGTAAATGGAGACGTTACAGCAACAGAAGGATCCGAACGACTAGCGGAATTAGGCGTAGTACAAATACTTGGAAAGTATGAAACACAAAAATCCAGAGAGGACGGCCGTTATTGTTGGGTCTGCTTTGTAAACGATGAAGAAGATGACGAAATGGACGCATGGGTTCAACCGTGCAAGTGTAGTGGCACAACGAAATGGGTGCATCAAAGCTGTCTACAACGATGGGTGGACGAAAAACAAAAAGGAAACGCATTCAAACGTGTAAATTGTCCACAATGTCGTACCGAATATATTATTGTTTTTCCAGAAATGGGAACATTCGTTAGCATTTTAGAAGGCATTGATTCAATCATCAAACGGCTTAGCCCCTTTTTGGCGGCTGGTGTAATTGTTGGTAGCCTATATTGGACCGCCGTCACATATGGTGCTGTTACGGTAAGAAAAAATGTTTAATTAAACGTTTTATAATTAATTAATATGTTAAGCAAATGACATATGACATTCTCTTATTTGCGACAATCAATTTTTTTGTTTTGCATTTCGATAATCAACGGTAAAAAGTCATTTCAATTTAACCTTGAACCAAAAAAAAAACATTCGTCATTCGTTCGCTTTGAATTGAAAACTTATAAGAATTATCCATTTCGGCAGGTTTTACAAGTATTTGGTCATAAGAATGGTTTGGATATGTTAGAACGTGCCGATCCACTTGTGCTTTTAATCGGTCTGCCAGCCATTCCAGCTGGTCTCATACTTGGACGAATGATTTGCTGGGAAGAAATGCTATTGCGGTTTATTCAAAGTAGACAAAATATTATAACCCGAAAATTTCCATTTATGAATCTACTTCTACCAACAATGTAAGTATTGCATCACCCAACAACACATTTCTCACACCCATTTCACAATGAACAAAAATCATTATTGACTTTTTTTCAGTGAGGAAACATCAAACATTATTGAAGAGAATGCCAACGGAAATCAAAATCAACCACCAGCTTTGATCGATCCGTTATCAGCGACGAGATTATTTTGCGGTAAATAAAACTTTTCAAATCAAATAAAAATTGTTATAAATTCAAGTAAAATACATTATTTCCATGCGGTTTTTAGGTGCATTATTAATGCCAACAGCATCGGCGATTGTGGGACGGGTATTTTTTGAATCAATACAGAATAATCTACATCGAACATTAATTGGTGGCCTTTCATTCATCGTTGTCAAAGGAGCATTGAAGATTTATTTCAAACACAAACAAAATAGACGTAAAAAGCAACGGAAAATTCTCGATTTTACCGATGAAAATTTGCGACAAGCACGTGGCCAGCAACAGCACTATCACAGTCACAGCGATGTTTCAAATATGGATAATTCATATTAAAAATTTGTTTATCTTCAACAATACATACATATAAAAACAAAATGAAGAACGAAAATGCCATAGAATAGATGACTCGGATTTGGCTTATATGAAAGATTCGACGATTTCATCAATTGATATTTATACATAGAAAACAAACGTGTCGCACGATTTAATGTTATATTTGGTAAAAAAGATAGCAAATAGTGATTAAGTAAGGACAAAAGGTATTTGTGGGTGACGATTGTGAACATTCTATCTGTGTTTTTTTTCTCTGTATCTATTTTGCCATTTAAATTCAAACATTTACACAATTTTTTTTTTTTTTTGAATAACAGAGATAATGTGATAAAAGAAGAGTAAAACTATGTAATTTTGAATGCTTAGGCTTCTTTGAGATGACATTTTGATTTCGGACTCGAACAGCCATAAGCAACCCTCAATACTAAATACACACATACAGAGTTGGAAGTTTAATTGAATTTTGCCACTTAGGTCACGATAAATTCAAAATCATTTCAACCGAAGAGAGTCTTTCATATGTAACAACAACACAGAAACAAATATGAACTGCATTATCGATGGTTGATATCGATACAGGCACAAAGTGTACACAAACTTAAAAATTCAATATTATTGTATGAATAATGCTTTCGCAAATAGTGCTTTTTTTTAATGGACAGAAAACAAAAAATAAAACCAATGAATTTTAATAGGACAAAATAGAGCCCAATAATGTTGAGGAAATAAAGAAATTAGGATCTTCTATGGCAAAAGAAGAGAAGAAATTTTTAGAAGAAAATAATTCATAAAAAATGTTGGATAATTAAATTATTTTGATATATTTCGTCTTTTCTTGTAAGCTTTGCGGCAAACTTAAAAAAGCGTCACATTTAATGTTTATTGTTCTTATTGCATTAAAAAAAATAGAGAGAAAAAACATCAACATTAACCACAAAGGAGAACGTTTTTTTTTATCTTGGTCAACCATGATTGCTTTTTTTTATTTCAGAAATGAAACGATAACGCAACGTTACGGCGATTTTTTTTCCTTTTTTTGAACTCAGAAAACGGTAAAACAAAACTAAAATAAAAGAATATATTAATAAAAACCATTGGAGTGTTTGCCTCTTTTATTTCGCTGTAAAATTTTACGATGCGCATTTTTTGCTATAACACTTGCCAAAGAGTTTCAATTCAAGGAGTATTGACGACCATATCTGCCCAGCTAAAGTTTAACGAACCATGATGTAAATTTCCGGATAATTTTTGGTAATCAACCAATCTGATTATAGTTTTCGGTTATTTGATTATCGCGTTCTAATTTCATTTACTCAAACCGGCCAACGTGCAATATCATCCATTTGTTTGGTTTTACGAGAGACAAATCGGCGATGCAAATTATAATCAGCCATAAAAATTGAAAGTAATCTTTGAGATTTATCACTTACTTATTGCAATGGTAGTCGAAGAGCTAACGTTAATAAAGAAAAATAATAAAACTTGCACCACATCGATATTATCTCTTTGAGAAATTTACTTTTAATTTTGAAGCTTTGTGCGGTGATATCCAAGGTCGTTTTTATTTCTTGTCGCAAAATACAAAAAAGAGATTTTAAGTTTGCATTAAAACATAATCATGGTCAGTGTGGGGACAAGTATTAGTCAAATGAAAAAGACAAACCATGGCCAAAAATGGCCAGATATTTTCAGCATCCAAATATTGTCAATATATTTTTAATTGCCCATATCTAAATTGAATGACATTGCCCAGAATCTGGAGAGTGGTTTTTCATCTTCTCCTTGTCATCGTTTTGTTTATTTCTTTTCGTGTGTGTTTGGCGATATTCGGTTGGGCGATACACGACTTGCAAATGCCCAACAGCTCTTGTGGTGATTGCAAACATGCTTCTATTGTTCAATTCAACGATAATCAACATATGCCAACTCACACATTACCGCAAAACATTCGCGCAACAGTATCAAAATTCCATACGCAGCACACGCAGTAAAGAAAACCAAAATCAAAACGTACCAACAGCAACCATTCAACATAAAGACTGAAAGAGAAATATACCGTACGACAACAACGATTTCAACGACGTCGACGACGAAGACCGTTGAGAGAGAAAGAAGCAGAAAGTGAGTGGCAAATTTATTCGCTGAAGAGAAGAAGAGGAAGAAAAAAAACGCCATACATCGAATTGTATATCGTTGCTTACTTTTTTCGGTCTGATACAATGTTCAGGTCTTCAGTATGATCTGAGCGCACATGCAGTCAATGCGAAATTTTAAACACACGCGGGATGTAAGTAAATCAAAGGAAAATTAAAAACTGACCAGAAGCGGTGTTCACCCTGATACTGAATAACGAAGAACAAAAAAAAATCTGTTCTTTGGCTGGAGACGATTTTTTTTGTTGTTGTTGAAGAATTCACAATAAGTTTAGGATTTTTTCAAAAAAAAAAAAATCCGTTACATGAAAATCGAATTAAAAGTTTTCAGTGAATATTTTCATTGAATTGAATGAATTTTGTAATTGGTTTCCACAGTTGGAAAACAGAAGTGCAAAGTCATTAATCGAGTGGCAAAAAAGGACCAACCGAATTTTATTTAATTTTGTTTTATTTTTTGTCAATTTTTCGATTTCGGGATATGTGCAACGGTGTGATAACAGAAAATAAAAGTGTGAATCAACTTCAGTGCAGTATAAAACTATCATCGATTTGACTCACTCAGGATGAGTCTTATTAAGCAAAGACTTTGAATCATCGCCAATGGATTTTTCGTTTCATTACCGATATTATATCTCTTTTTTCACTCATAACATGATCACCGCATAATTATCATCGTCGACCAAAATCGATAGTGTTTGGAAAAACATTGAAAGTGAAACGAAGAAAAAAATCAATTATAAGAAATCAGTTAATGAGTGATTGAAAATTGATTATTTAAAACGAAAAACAAAAACTGGATTAACTGGGAGCGAGGCAAAGCGAACGTTTAATAACAGCAGCGGTGTGCGCACACGCGCAATTTGTGGCGCTCAATTTAAATGAGATCAAAAACCTGATCGAAAACGGTATGTTTTAACATAGCAAATAGTCTTAGATCGTTCTCTCTCATTTCAATCGGAACGAGCATGAGAATTTCACTTTGCGTATATCTATGATTAGTCAAATGTAAAAAAAATGGATAATATATGATTATTTGATGAGCGATCGCGAATTGACGAATCATATATTTATCTATTTTCCATATTCATTTCTTTTCTATCTTGCCATCAGATGAGATATCTATAAGTGAGAGATATGAAGAAAGAGCGTGTGCATGTGTTGTTTTAGGTTAGTGGAAAGTAAGAAAAAAAACACACACACAAATTGCAGTGGCCAATGCTTTCGATTTTACTTTCTTCTGCAGCTCACTGAACTGGTCATTAGCTTATTTAGAAACGTTGTCAAGAATAATAAAAAAAACTAATGTTATTATTAGTTCAATAAAATTTATGGAAAAATGAGAAAGAAGTTCCGTGAAAGTGGAAACTGGGTGAAGAAAGTTTATTAGATAGACAGATAACCTTAGCATTGAAAAAAATCTTTACTAAACCACCATGCATGACGCTAGCGCAGAGTGATTGTCATCAATTTTCAATTATCTATGATAGTAAAATGCCATCGGGCAACAGCCGTAAATTATGTCATCACCGTTTAAATCGGAAGCTGTATGAATTCTAATACACATTTTTTTTCATCGATCCATATCGCTCGAACATTTTTCTTTTCTTCCGTTAACAAAGCAAACGAACTTATCCATACGCCATGCGTCACACACAATTTTAAATGCCAAAGTATTTATTTTATAATTAAGACAACAATAAATGAGCAAAAGAGAAACTGAAATTGAAAGAAATGCGCCGGTGATTTTTTTAAATTGAGCCTGATACTTCAAAACGAAAACAAAAAATTGTCGAAAAATTGACATCTGTACAAATGATATGTCGTTTGAAATCTCTGATATTCGAACACACTTCTGGAATTGTTTGTATTTTATGTTTCGTCGTCTCGATTTCTTCGGTATTCGACACCGGGCGAAAGAGAGACCGACATCGCTTAGGCTCTATATCCGATATAATAAATCATATCTCTCTAGCGTCTATTAATCGCTTTTGCGTGCCATACGCCCGTAATGTATTCTGTCATTATTTTTTTTTAATCGCCAAAGATAAATAGTAACAATGTGTTCAGTTTAAGTTTTTTTTTGCTTTTTTTGTATTCATGTTTGTTATTGTTGTTATATAAAAAAAAATAAGGAACGCGTGTAATATCGTAAATTGAGAGGAAAAACATATCACAAATGCATTGGATGGAAATAACCCAGAAAAAAAACATTGTTCAAAGTATAAAATCAACAAAAGCACAACAAATAAAAATATTTAGTAAAAATGAAAAATTAAATCAATCATAAATTGAAAATTAATTTTACCTCCTGTATAGCGGATATGAACATTGATTTATCGCCAAAAAAACAAAAAAAATGCTTTTATTTCTTCGCGTATTATTTAAATCTCCCTCCGGTCGATCACATAATGACAATTCTGTGCGTATGTTTGTACTGTTTTTTCTCATTGCATTAAAATTACATATTTGCCAAGATAACAGTGGAAATGGCCATTCACCACTATCACCATTAATCGTGCATGAAAAAAAGATCAATACACACATTTATTGAATGACCCTTGTAATTGATGCAACACACATTTAAATGTCGACGCATTTTTATATGATCGAACAATAAAACGGAGTTTCTTTTGAGAAATAAAAAAAAAACTTTTGTCGTTAAATGTCAAAATGTGTTTGTTTTTATTCAAAATCTTGATTGTTTTTCATGGAATTTTCTTAATTTAATTGCCAAATTACTTGTTTTGGTAAGTAAGAAATATTGCTTTTGGCAATGCATTCAATGAGAGACTTTTTATTGTAATAACAATAAAATCGAAAGAAAATGATCAAAAAGAGTCTGAATAAAATTATGGGAATGTTTTTGAACGTGTTTAATAAAAAAAAATCGCAATAAACAATGAAACGAAATAACATCATCGATCATCGAACAAAAGTTGACAAAAAAGACAATCGTGGAATAAAATAAAAAAAATCTAGAAGAAAATGTGAAAAAGTTGAAATGACATTGGGAAGAAATCACATGAACATGGGAATATTTTTGTCTTAATTCACAAAAATTGACGCTTTTTTAGCAATTAGAAAACATCATTCGGACATAAAACCATTCGGATGAAAGTGCTCAGTATGACATTCTTTTTGTATTTGTCTCTCAAAAGCGGAGAGTGAAAATTGCTTTGTGCCAATTTCACAATAACTCGACTTGTTTTGCCTCTCAATAAATGAAAATAAAAATATCATTCAATCATTTATGAATCATTAATTAGCAACAAGACAATACCGATTTACAGGCAAAACAAATACAAAGCAACAACAACAACAAGAAAAGTGTGCATAATGCGACAACACAAATGAAAATTGATTAGATTTTATCGACGCATAAAATTTAAATTCTTCGTTTGTATGTATAAATTTATCGAACAAAAGCCCATTGATACAATGTCATTTTGGCCGCGTGCTGCAAAATTCAAATCTACCAGCAATACTGCATACGATTATTATGCATAAAATCGATGTTTAATCATAGCTATTTGAAAATGTATAAAATTTTGCGCCAAACTGTTTCTTTTTTTTTTCAGCATTAAACTGGTTTATAAACAAGAGAGAAAAAGAAAGATTTGAAATATATGCACCAAATGAAACTAAAAAAACACACACACATATGATTATATTGCTGCTTCTGATCATTTCTGCTGCCATTGCTGGTGCCTAATGTGTGTGTCTCGTTTTGCTTCTTTTCTCTTTCGATTTGCTTCGTGTGACAAACTAATAACTGCTTCAAATATCTTGTACGGGACTATGACCGCAAATCATACGCTAAATTGTGGTATCTTACAATACCATTCGATCGCTCGATTTTTTTATTGGCATCGCTCTTTATTTCATTTTATTTTTTGGTGGTGGATAACGTGTGAGAAGCCGATTGAATGCAATTCGGTTTTTTGTTGTTTAGCTTTTAACAAAACACTATATTTACACATTTAATGCAAAACACAGTGTGTGCACTTTGTGCAATATATGATTATATTATTGCCGCATTTCGAAACCACGTGCACAGGTAAATTTACGATCATTGTATATAACAATAATAATTATCGATCATTGGGATGAACGATGGCAAATGAACACAAAAATTATGTCATTACATGATCTTTTCGTTAATTTTACAAAAAATGATCCGAAATGGGTTTTGATGGAAAGGGGTTGCAAATTGCGTTCACAACTCATTAAGAATGAAATTGAATGGACGTGTCACATTTTATTTGTTTCTAAAACCAACTTCATGAAGCACGAATATAGTTTTTTTTAAAGCTTCCCTTGTAAAATAATGTACGGCAGTGTACGGAGATATATTTCTCTGAAAACGGATCCTTTTTAGCCATTCTCATAATTTAGCCCGAATTATTGATTTTCTAAAATGTTCCCATAATGAAATTGATGTCAATCTTTCCACAAATTAGAAACTACAAAACAAGGAAAAAAATATATTTGTTTCAAAATTTACTACATCAAAAAGTTAAGTTAGCAATTGCTCCAACATTGGAAGAAAGAGGAAGAGAGAGAATTTTGCATGTATGTTGTGTGTGACGCTAATGAAGCGTCAGCTTGTCATAGAGCCTTACACCAAATGTAAATGTGCACTTTCGTAGCAAAAAAATTCCCTATTTGGCATACAAATTGGCTCAAAACACTGAATATATACAAATATTCTCACCTTTGGCGTTTTAAATAAAAACCCACTAAATATATTGATTGCGAGCATTAATTGTATCTCGCTCAGTATATATGTAAGGGAAGACCGTGTAAAGTGGGCATAGTTTTGTTTTTTGGCCAAAAAAATTTCAAATATAAAAATATCGAAGAATATGATATACCGTTGGAAAGGTATTGTTTTGGGCAACAACTTTGCCAAAGAAAGTAGTTTGATATCGCTTCAAACAAATTTTTTTTAACGATTTTCTAGAGACATGATTTTCGGCAAAAAAAAATTTACCGTGTAAAGTGAGCAGCCACTAAAAAGTTTTGAAAATTTCTGGAAAAGTACAAAAATGTAATTAAAACACCAAAATATTGTTGTTTATTGCGTGTTAATTTATTCACTTGTCAGTTTCAACTTTTCTGTGTACTACTAGTTTTGATGTAAACTTGAACTTGTTCAAAATCAGACTGAGTCAAGTGCACAAAATTCGCCGATTATATACCCAATCTATATATTTGAGATACAATCAATTTTTGATACAGTTTCCTTGAAAAAACCACAAAAAAATGACATTCTGAAAGTTTGATGAGATTTCAATCAAAAGTAGGGGTACCTCCCATACAACATTTTCATGGGAGGTACCCTTAATCGAATATTTTGTATGGGAGGTACCCTTAATTTTGGTTGAAATGTCTCCAAACCCTCCGAATGTTATTTTTTGTGAAAAAATAACCTGTGCAAAGTTTCACGCCATTAAGGTAGCATACAGACATGGCTCCACTGTGTCCATAACATATAGAAATAGCACTAAATAGTGTCGATATCTATACTATATCGGTGCACTATATATGGACGATATTTCCGCAAGACACCGTAACTCACAATCGAAGTGAGTGCGGACGGCAAAAATGTTGACGCATACACACAGTTCTTTCTACTGCCGCACGGCAACTTGTGATTTTTACCGTCTATACTCACTTCGATCGTGCGATACGGTGCCGTGCGGCAATATCTTCCATATATAGTGGATCGATATAGTATAGATATCGACACTATTTAGTTCTATTTTTATATATTATGGACACACTGCATGGCTCCCATACAAAAATCCTAATTTTTTGTGACTTTAGTTATGAAAAGCAGACAATATATTGAACTAACTGGTCAGTTGAGCTGACAGTACGTTAGCCAGCTAAATGGACTCAA